CTGCCCCTTAGTGTTAGTGTAATTACAGAGTTATAGATTCAGTGCTAACTCAACCTACAAGCTTGATCTGTCAAAGGAAAAATTAGAAATCAGACTTCAAAATGAACATCTCATTTGATTTAGAACTCTGGTTCTACTGGTGATTTTCAACAGGTCATCGAGAGTCAACAAAAATGACCCAAGTATGTTCTTTGAAGGGAAATGGATTTGATTTTCATTGTAGAATATCAGTTGGTATGGGGGGGGGGGGGGGGAGGGGAGGAAGGAGGGGGAAGGAGGAAGGGAGGGGAGGAGGGTCTGTCCCCTGGCCTGTTCTTCTTTCTGATTTTTACAATGAAGGATTCGTTTCCTCTGTTGGGGGTCTGAGCACTCCCTGGAAGGAGGCCCTTGGCAAGTCCCTGGACCCCAATACATCCAGCACCATTGTCTTGTCTGTGTTCCAGCATTCTCCTGCAGGACCTCCCACAGCCTACCTCCCAGTACCTCTACAGGAAGGGACACATCTGGGAACCTACTGGCATCACCCCAATTCCTTACAGCTGTTTAAAAAAAATACTGCATGGAAAGAAAAGAACATTTCCTAGCCAGAGCATCCCCAGACATCTTCCCAAACTAACTGAACAAGTGGGCAGGGCTTTAGCCTAGGAGAATTGCAGCCCATGGTGGAGCCAGCAGGAAGACAGTGCCAACATGCCTGGGTCTGGGCAGGCCTAGGCTTTGGCCTTCGCCTGCATTGTCCTGACTTCTCTGAAATGCAGCCCTGTCTTGACCTGGGGTCTTGGCTTACTGGTAGGCTACATTCACTTGCAAATAGGTCCTCCTGCATGTGTCTCTTCTCTGAGTTCCAACAAAGCCCAAAGCTCCACAGACACAAAGGGCAGAGGGCTTTCTTCTTCCCCAGTCTGACCACACAGCACCAATCCTAATGACTGTGCCCAGCCCGAGTGGGCAGACAGGAGGTGATGGGCTACCGAGGATCCCAAAAACTCTCTGTGGTGTGGATGGGCCTATTCCTCCGGGATGTTTTTGGCTGGCATCTGGGACACAAGACAGAAGCAACATGAGGTTAAGGGAGGGAGATAAAAATGAGAGATGAGAAAAGGGACATGAATACACTCAACACAGTCCCCAAGGTAAGGAGGGGTGGGGAGTGGAAGAGACACACGTATGAATCCAACTTGTTCTCACAATAACTTTCCCACATCATACACCCCTGCCCCTCAAGCTACCAGAAATTGCTCACAACACACCAATGAATAATGCGAAATACAATTAAGAGGGATTATCTGACATAAAGAAAAAATTAGTAAAGCTAAGCTTTAAGACGTGTTATCAACAGTTAATAATACTTTTGCATGGTATGTTACTAAATTACTTCAGACCCAGATGCATTTAATTGGTTCATTAAAGCAAATTATTCTGATTATAAAGAATTTGATCAGATACCCAACTTTTATACTAAATTAGCCAAGAGGGGTCAAATTGATAACGTGAATAGAAAATTAGCAAAGTCTGAAAGTTTCCTGAATCAAGAGAACAAGTAAGTATTGGCTAGTCATTTCTTACATTCACTTACAAAGAGGTCATTTTTTGCAAGTATTTAAAGAATGGACAGTTTACTATTGAAATTGTTGAATTAGTAAAGAACCGAAACTAACATGAGAATATTAAGGCCTTGCTATGTTGAAAGTCTGGCTCGGAAAAGTTAGAATTATTGCTTTGACTCTGTAGAGAGCACACTCATATTGATAAAGAACTTTGTTATGGAATATTCCACATATTCTGTGTTTAAGAAATTCAAACACAGTCATACCTGAGAGGCTGTGTCCTTCAAGGAAAATGCAGGTATTTCTTTGAAGGATGAAGGGAAAATAAAAAGAATCAAATTCCAGTGCAATTTCTATAAATAATAGCTCTTGATATCAAAGCAACACTCTTTAGTCCTATGAAGACTCACATACAAATCTACATATTTATATGTTATTATATTTAGATTATACACATAATCATCACAGCCACAGTCTGGATTATATTTTCATCTTCATTTTAGTTTTTCTTTTCTCTTTTTGGTCCGTGTGGGGCTTGAACTCTGGGCATGGGCGCTCTCCCTGAGCTCTTCAGCTCAGGGCAAGCGCTCTACCACTTGAACCACAGCGCCACTTCCTGTTTTCTGGTAGTTAATTGGAGATAAGAGTCTCATGGACTTTCCTGCCTGGGCTGGCTTTGAACCTCGAGCTTCAGATCTCAGCCTCCTGAGTTGCTAGGATTACAGGCATGAACCACCGGCACATGGCTCATTTTAGTATTTCTGAAGCTTGAAATATTCAAACAAGTCATTTGAAATCTATCAGACAAAAATGAACAGGTATGGGATGTTATATGATTGATCACTGGGTTGGGTTTTTTTTCAACACAAAAGCAACACATTTTTACATGATTTCAATGTGATTTTGATTTTGCACTACCTCTTTCAGCTTCATAAGAGAAAAATGGTTCATTTTTTTAAAGCACTGCAAGGAGTCATCAGTAAGATTCTATCACATGACCGCTCCATGAGAAGAAAGGGCATCAACAACGGGTCAATGGGGAGTCGGGGGGGGGGGGGGGGGAGCTGGTTGGAGAAGGAGATTCCCAGACAGAAAGGTAGGAACACAGTTCTGCCTTCCCTGTGCCAGCACCACACCACCCACAGCCTTTGGTCCTCAGAGCAGCAGTGCTAGCCAGAGCCTGCTGTTATACCAGTGCTCCAGAGCTCAGCAGCTGCCCAGATCCCACAGCTGGCAAGTGGCAGAGTTGGGGCTGGTGCAACTTTTGGTGTTCCCTGCTCCCTCGGTCTCCTTCTCAGTCTACTTCTTCTCCCTAGAATCCCTGAGGTTTGATCCAACCAGGAGCTCTGCCGAGAGGAGAATTCTCTTTCTGTTACTCCATGCTGTCTTCTTGCTACATCTGTGCTTACCCACCATTTACCCAAAATGCCCGAGGCTGCACCTTCTGTGAGGGAGGAAGACCAGCCGTCGGGGGCCTGCTGCCCCCAGGATGGTCTAGATTTCTCCTCTAGGGTCCTTGGCCCTTTCCATGGAAGGGAGTTCGGCCACCACACCGTGCCACTGAGGAACAGAGTCCTGGCCGCATCCATCCTCAAACCTCCTCGCACAAAGACCCCAGGAGCACACCATGACTCAGGACATCAGACCATTGACGCAGACTAGTTACCCCTGCCATGATGTTGCCAGCTGTATGCATAACCCTGAAGGGCAGGGCCACTTGACCACCAAGAAACTCTGATGCTCTATGCTCTTGAGTGTCTAGGTTGCTTCTCACGACTTCTGCCAAGGTGTTTCTCATATTCTTGCTAAGACCAAGTAAATCACTGAAGATGAAAGAAATGGAGATTTGGAAAAAGGAGTTGATGTTTGTGGGTCTGCTCCTCCATATTTGTCCTTTCAAGTGGGAAAAACACAAAAGGTGCAGGTTTGCAGGGTCTTTCCCTTCTCTTTTAGGTGGAGAGCCCAATCTGAATCTGCAATGGGTGGGAGCTTCCAGTAGCACTCTGTTCTTACTTACATCTCAATTACAGTGGAAGACACTCAGGAGATGGTGATGAAGGCACTCACCATGTGCAGGAGTATGAGAATGGCACCTCTTTAAGGCAGGCTTCCTGCAAAGTTGGACTGAGAACAGGTATCTCTGTTCCAGGTTGAGCTCTGAGCCCTGAAGACCACAAAGCTCTCAACTGCTGTGCTCCCCTGCTTTGTACCAAAAGGTCACATGCCATTTAGGTTCACAATGAAGTGAGTGGAGTTTTCATTCCTAGTGTAGCCTGGACCAACGGGCTCCCTGACATCATTCACAGGGATCCTGCAAGTTTACAGAAAGGGGGCAGGGCTACTTGAGGGGATGGTACAAGGTGAGAAGCATTCATATTATAACAGGAAAAGGGCCTGAGGAGCTGAATGGATGACTTGGAGCCAAATGACTTGGCAGATCCAGCCACGTTCATGGATCTGCGATGACAGAGACAGTCTTTTTTCCACCCTTCATAAAACTTTATCTTTTATGTCTAAAGATCAAGTTTTTTTCAAATTAAAAAGACCACATTTAATGAGTGCTAGGGGAAATAAACTGGTGGCAATTAAAGGGTAAAAATAACCTCAGTGGTTATAGACCACAGGAGTTTCCTAATTTTAAGAGGCACGGGCAAAAAACTTAAACAAGGCCTTTCGGGCTGTGTGTGTGTATCATGTTTCCTGCACACCCCCTGTGGTTAAAGTTACAGGCAGGCAGAGCTCTTGAACCCGTGGGATTGTGTAGTTAATGGAAATACAACAGGCCAGATTCACCAATGCACAAAGGCAACCCAGGAGCATGTAAGTCAAACACAAGCCTCCTTTGCAGCCAGTTGTTCTTGTGGAAGGGAGCTCAGAGTAGGCTCTTCTTCATGGAAGTCCTCCTATCCTCCAACCTGGAGCCCTATTCTACTGTCCTCTACCTCTGCATACCAAATTGCAGAGATAGTTTCCCTTCGCTTCCTTATTTTCCCTGTGCAGATTCAGTCTGTGCTAAACCATGAGCCCTTCCTCAGACCTGGAATCACCAGTCAAGATGTCTCAAATACTCAGAAGTAGCCTGAGATTCCATTTCAGAAAGCCACCTCCACCCTGCAATACTGAGACCTGGACCAGAATTTGGTGAGCCTTCCTGGATCCTAGAGTCAGGCTAGAAAACCCTAGGGTATAACCAGCTTCTCAAACATTTGGACATCAAATTATTATCTACAAAAGATCAACCTGGAATACATCCTAGCATTCCCCGATTTGGGGAATCACATCAGCTGTGGTTTGGGGAATCACATCAGCTGTGGAACAGAAAGAAGGGAGAACCTTTGTACCACGCTTTGGTGTCTTGTTTCTCATACCAGCTATGACTCAGTCCACTGTGTTCAATGTCAAGTCTACCCTTGGTCCATTACCCAAACTGAGCCGCCAGCACTCTGAGCTTACCGGTAGAAAGTGGCATAGTCCACTGCTGAGTGGCAGGTTTGAAATTCCCAAGACTTGAGCTTCTGGCATTCTCGGTGGGCTCGGAGCTTTACCTTCACAGTCCCTTGACACAGCTCCGGCATGGGTTTCCTCTGAGGTCTGTTACAGAACTCATTAGACTCTACCCTCCAGGACTCAGCAAAGTCATCTACATCGAACTTGAAGTTTCCATCTCCACCAATCAGGTCATCACGCTTATGTCCATTGTAGTTACCACAGAGACCACACAGCTTGCCCTTGAGGTGTGGGGCAGCCATGACCTCCACAAAACTGTCCCCATCCCAGGATATTTCCAGACCTAGAGGAGAAGGAATAAAGGGGATTAAACAGGCTGGAATCATCTGCCAAATGTACATACTTGCATACCAGTCCATACGGTTGTCAGGTCCTAACAGGCAACACCAAGGATCTGTAATCTCACCACCTTCAATTGCATATAAACTACATGTATCTCTCACTTATTAAAGGTGAATATTTTCAGTTGCATGGATTTGCCCTCATAAACATCCATCAGTTTTAATCCCTATAGATAGTGGCCTCTTTGACCACACCACGTTAGGATTTATTTATTTATTTTTTAAATCTCTTAGTCAAACTTATGCCTTCATTGATCCAGTGATGAGCAGAATATCAAGAGGGAAAGAAGCACAGAGAGTAGTTCCCCAATGTCATTTTCATTTTGTTTTTCAATTTAGAAAATCCTCCTAGATAATTATTTCTCTACATGTCAAAGAAACGTTTTCTAATTATGTGTCACAATGGAAACATTACAACAATAGCTAGGTGCAGAGTACATCCTCTTCAAAGGACAGCAGTCACAGAAATGAAAACAATTGGGTTGTCACTGTTGTGCAGTCATTCCTGAGATGTGGAACTCTGACCTAAGTTCTTTCGGGGGAGTAATTTGGAAGCTCTTCTACCTGGCCTCCACCCTGGGGTAGAGGCATGTAGGCTTCGAGAACATGGGCCAAAGTTCCTAATGCTTCCTTGCTCATCAAGGAAACTACCTTCACTTCAGAGGTACAGGATATAAACCCTTCTTGGTTGGGTGAACTGATTATCTAAAATATCACAAGGTTTTTCTGAAAATAAGCACATGTCTCCAGAAATGCCATCTTACAACTTGGTAGCCAAAGACCCCCTCAAGCTAGAGATAATTCTAATTAGAAGTTCACTCTCAAATCCACTATGAGACTGGGTAAGAAGATGCTTTCCACAAAAGAAAGGAAATCTTCGTGAAAAGATTTTTGAGGTGCAACCCAAAGCAAGAGACAAAAATTTTCTAGTGGTTCTTTATGGCTTACATCTGTATTGAAAACGAGAATGCTTTGCCTCTGTTCCTGAAAGATGAATATTTCCAGGTGGGGGACCAGGTGGCAACAGGTGGGAGGGGGGAAGGGAAGGAGAGGGCAGGGATTAAACAGAGTGAAAGAGAGGCCTTGGCTATTGTTGGGATGTGATGCTGGCATAAAGTCACAACATCAGAACAATGCAACAGACCACCCAAAGGGAAGACCTGGAAGGCAATACTTGAATCTGAACATGGTCTTAGAAGAGAGAAGGCGAATCATATAGATTTCCCTGGAACAAGTCTCACAACTGGCATGAGACTGAGCTGGTTTAAGGAAAGCTGTTGGTAGGACAGGCCAGTGGTCTAGAACTGAGTTTATCAGGGCGAGGGAAAAACAAAATAGGAAGCCAGTGCTTCATGGGGAAGGAACCCAGGGACCAGAGTCTGACTCCAATGGTAGAGTCAATCTCATACTTTCAGGATAAGGCTGGGTTAAGTAGATTAGAAAAAACAGTTAAATAGATTGGAAAAAGTAGCCAGAAAGGTCCTGGGGATGTGTCACTTGAGGATAATCTGGTGTAGAGAACACAGTAACAGGACCGGGAAAGAAGAGAAGAGAGAGCGTGCGAGCGGCCCCGCTCACCAGGCCACCCACCCACATGGCCCTCTGTGAGAACATGGTGTGGACTCTGACAACCACAATTGTCACATAAAACAGTTTCCATGTTCTCATACCCCGCCATCTACTAGGATGTGAACAAATGACCCTTGTAATGTGGGTCCATGGAATCCACAAAGCCCAAGAAATTGAGAGTTTCATGCTAGTTAAGACCCTGAAATAATCGGTCAGAAAGAAAATAGGCAAACTATAAAATGATTTGTAATACGCTCTCCGAGGTATAGAAGAAACTTCGCCTCATGAGCCTGCAGTCAGGCAGTTACTCTGCAAGAGAAATGAGGGAAGAAAATCAATTCCATACAAAGTCTAACTTTTAGTGCATAATTCCAAAGACTTTCCATGTTGCAAAATTTTCCAAACTACAAATCTCTTTCCTAGACAGCAAGCAAATACCATCACTCCAAGTGCCATGAGCAGTCGAGAATTTACACCTAAAAGTGCTCCAGTGTCATTTCTGACAATGATAGAATAAATCTGAAACTTTGGGAAAATGAACCAATGGAAACTCAACTCACAGAGAAAAAGCCCATCAATGTATTCTTTCTCGGAGTGACTGGAGGTCTGTGCGTGCTTGGAAAGATGCAGAACCTCTGTATTCAGTAAAATCTTCTGCAAATTCAGGACATCTCATTCATAACACATGGCCCCCAAATATGAGGGTCATTTGTAATTCACTCTCCATTCTTCATTCTTATTCTTAAAGATGATTATCACTGTCTAGTGTCCAACCAGGAGAGGTGACTTACCTTACCCCAGACAGTTGTGCCTACTGCTGTATGGGTGACATGTGTCTTCACGTGAATACTGGTTTCCTCCTCTAACAGAGAAAGATCCATGCAAAGCCAATCACAGTCGTGAAGGGCAGGAATGTAGTAAGTAGTAATTCAGGGCACTGCTCTTCTAAATGAGATCTTAAATAGGCATTGGATGAGAGGAAAACATTGCGAGGTTGGGGAGGAATCACCCTCTCCACAGCTGGGATGACTTTCCTAGTTCTCCACATGAGAAATTGGGTAGAAATAACTGGCAGCTTCGGAGACTAAAGCGGAAACACATGTGCCATCTGGGGATGTGAGCTGCCACCACATTCCTTCCACGTTAGTGAAGCTTCTAGTGTTCTCTGCTCCCCACCTGGCTCTTCACCCTTCAGATAGGAGAGCCGCCTCCAGCCCACTCGCTCAGGCTGTGGTTGGGGTGTGTGCGTCCTGTTCTTTGGTTTTGGACCTGTAGATTTTTGTATCCCTTTTCCCTTTACATAGACAATAACCAAAGCAGCCATGATCCCAAACCAAAACAAACCCCAAATCTACAGATGCACTGTAGCCATGTGGAAAAAAATGGAGGATTGTCTGATCTATCCCCCACCCAAAGGGGATGGGAAGCAGGATGCACTGGCAGGATTCAAAGTGTCCAGAGTGGCCAAAAATGAAATACAAGGCCAAGTTCCTCGTGCACTGTTTCCAAGGTAACTGTATCAGGTAGAGTTGATGAAAGCTCAGATGGTGCATAGATAGATAGATAGACAGACAGACATACACACACACACACACACACACACACATACATATATGTCTGCTAAATGCCAAGTGTTGGGGCAATGTGCAATTGACTAACCCTTGGTTCCAGGGTAGCAGGTAAATAGTAGCATTCTAATTCCACCCAACCTACACTGGTGCTCTGCCAGATTCTATCATGGAGCACTAAATCTGTAAACCACAGGTGCAAAGAGCCATCCCCTCCGCTCCCCTTCCAGATACAGGCTACAAGGAAGCAGGCGCTTTGAAGACAGTACCCTTTGATCACACAAAGCTTATGGAATAATGCAAAACACTACCAAAGAACAACACTCTAAGGAAATACGGAGATATTTCAAATAGACAATAGATGATGAAGAAACTCTCCCTAAGGTGTAGTTCAATCTGACATGGCTAGACCAGGCTGAAGCACTATTGTCTGGAAACCCAGAAGGGCAAAGTGAAAGTCAAGTGCTTCATCCCTAGGAATGAAGGAGGAATATTGCATGATTTGTATGCTACAGGCTACAGAAAATTGTTCAGCTGGGTGTTATGGGAAGAGACATGGAAAAAAAAAAAGAAAATATAAAATGGAATCCAAGGTTTTGAATAGCTAAACTCACTAATCTCATTATGATATTTATGATCTATTATTGTTTTCTCAGCTGCCTCATCCTCTTGTTCATTTTTATGACATGGAAGCTTCAGGAAGAGGCTTTGCCAGTCCTGCATGAAACAGCATGGAACCTCCTGGACTGTGAGTAATCTCCAGTACCCAGGAGTCCTTTGAGAAAGGAGCCCAGGGTTGACTAATAATTTCCATATCAGTGGACTCCCTTGTGTTTTGCTGGCTTGAAAACAGATAGACAAGGTGCTTCTAATTACTTCTATATAACACTTGGGCTTACTTAACAGTGGGCCTCAAACTTTTGCCTCCTTTAAAGAAATGAGCTGGGATCTGTATTTGCCAGGGTGCTGTGTCTTTTAGATACAAAAACAGATGTCTGAATTGTCCTGAGCAGGACATAATCCTTCTAGATGAATGAGGAGAGCTTTTCGTACCTGCCTGGTGAAGGTAGGAGGTTTTCACCTTTTCTGAACTTACCCATGCATGAATCCTTAACATTGTCTTATAGAAATGATGATTTACTCACTGACTAAAAGCTCCCAGGACTTCACCTACACTACTTTTTCTTTCTTTGGCTACACTGGCATGCCATGGACTTAAAATCCATTTATCAAAATATATTTTGGCTTGAAGGGGAACAATGACGAGGATTCTGAAGTTCCAACAGAAATGGTCTCTACAGACCCTCCAGGGTGCCTGGTAGAGCTGTTTCAAATGATTCCCTTCTAGATGCTGACAACCCAGGGAACTGGATCTGGATTGATGCCCTGACACTACTGAACCTCTCATTGTGAGCACTCCTGTGTGCTGAGTCTGTTCTCAGCAGATGAGAAGCAGAAGCTGAAGTGGACTCCTACAATGCTTTTCTCATGAAGCACCTCACAGACACAGGAGTGAGTGCCATGGACCACTACTACTAGCCAAGAGCAAATGTCTACCCAGAGAGTAAAAATTGATGCCCAGTAGACCAACAACAGCAAGAGATAGCAAGAAAGAGCCTCAGCCCCAGCTTTACATGGCCAAGGGCTGGGCTGCCGGCTGCACTTCCAAAGCTCGTCTCCCTAGGCAACCTCTAGGGGACAAGGGTTCTGGCCATCAACCTTCCTCCTGTCCCGAGTGGGCAGGACTCCCCCCCCCCATACACATACTGCCATCTGCACCCCCACAAGAGAGGTGCCATCCTCCCCAGCACAGCACACCAGAGCGGGAACGGACCCCACGGCTCTGCTGCTGAGGGCATTTGTGTTTGTGTTGAACACCACTGACACTAAGAGGTTTCCTTCTGAGGACCCCACCCCTCCTCTGAGCACACTTTGGACAGATGCTCAGAAGGAAGCCCTCTTCCTCCCAGATGTGTAACTGCACAGAAGTAGCACTTCCAAGCTGGACATCAGAGCCCTGGGAGAGCAAGGAAACTGGACAGAGATGATTTAGAAGGCACCATTTCTGTTTTCAGGAGGAGGATGGAAAGTTGTTGGATGTAGGCACGTGGAGGCAAAACTCTTCGTGACCCTGGTGCCACGTAAGGCTCCAGGTGGTGACAATGCCCTAGGGTGGTGCCATCTCCAACACAAGGCCAGTAGTTGGGTGCCTCCCTGTCTCAGGGGCCCCTAGCCAGAGGACGAGGGCCACCGTATCCAGGAGGGCCAGCATTGGCGGTGTGAGTGGAGCAAAGGGTGAGAGGAGGCGACGGAGGCCCCACCTGCTCGGGTGGTCACTTTGAGGAGGTAGCCGTCCAGGTCGATGTGGAAGTGGGGGGTGTGGCAGGGGAGCGCGATGCGCGAGCCGTTCCAGCGCACGGTGAGATGCTGCTGGAGGCTGACTGTGCCCTCGCCCAGCAGCAGCTCCACCGACTTGGTCCAGGAGAAGGAGCGCGTCCGGCGAGCGTCGTTCTTCACCAGCACCTGGAAGGGCGAGGCAGGGGAGGAGCAGTCTTTTGTCAACACGTACTGACACGTCCCCTGAAAGTTAAATGTGCGTCCGTCAAAAGTGTTGTAGTGGGGATCGCCGAACACCGTGCAGACGCCAGGCTCTGCGGATGAGCGAGAGATAAAATATCGTCACAAGTGCGAAGAGGGTTCATGGGAAAACCAGGTCCCCACCCTGTAATCAACTAGGGGTGTGTGGTGGGGGGGGGGGGGCGGTGGCAGCTAAGGGAGGATCTTAGTAGGAGGGGCACTCAGGGAAATCAACTGTAAAAGGAAAGCTAGGTTTTAAAAAATAATAATAATAAACTCATGTTCCTTAGTACATTGACATTTAAAAGGTACTTATAACATCTCTGGGTTTCTAAAGCAACTTTAGTTTACAGCCTGGACATGCTTCCATGAGTAAAAGTTACTGCAGACAATTAAGAGTTGGCCTTCATTCATAACCCACATACATATCAGCAGGATGTACATAAACAAGTAGGAGCAACAGAAATGACACTGCACCAAAGTCTCCATACTACTTTCATTTGACTAAGTCAAGAACTTAAGATGGTGCCTAAAGCTCACATCTAGAGTTACTCAGAAGGCTTGAGATCTGAAGGGATCTTGGTTCAAAGCCAGATGGGCCAGACAAATCTCAGAGACTTTTATCTCCAAAGCAGAAAAAAAAAAAGCCAGAAGTGGAACTGTGGATCAACTGGTAAGTGAAAAAGCTTAAGGATTGCATCCAGGCCTTGAATTTAAGCCTCAGTTGCCAGCACAGGAAAAATAAAATAAAATATGTAAAAGGGACTACTTGGGGAACAGGCAGAAGAAGTAATATTTGAATTTAACCACCAGTTCTGTTCTTAATTACTCTCTTACTGGTTGTGCTTTCTGCTGTCCCAGTTTTACCATTTTTTGCTGGACGTTATTCATGGCTCCAGCTTTTTTATTTTTTGTCAGTCAGAAGGCTTGAATTCAGGGCCTGAGCACTATCCCTCAGCTCTTTCACTCAAAGGTAGCACTCTACCACTTTGAGCCACAGCTCCACTTCCAGTTTTTGAGTGGTCAATTGGAGATAAGAGTCTCATAGCGACTTTTCTTCCCAGACTGGCTTTGAACCACAATCCTCAGTTCTCAGTCTCCTGAATAGCTAGGATTATAGGTGTGAGCCACCCAATGCTCAGCTTGGCTCCAGCTTCTTAATTACACATCTACCTGACTAGCCCTCCTAAGCTCTTCCATGGTGTACCACAGTCCTTTCTCAACAGGGGCTGCAACTGACATTATTGTCCATTATTGTACATTACACACCACCCTCACAGTCTGACAAGTAGAAGCCATCCCTGGAAGAAACATGCTGCTTTGGGTTTGACTGAGTTCAAGGCAGGTCTTTGAGATGCCCAAGCATCTCAATGAGGAATGAGAGTTTGGAGTTAAAGCTACCACATGGCATAAAAGGATTGAATATTAACCCAAGTAATGGTAATACAACCCAAGAGATGGGTCTTCATCAGATTCCTTAAGTCCACCATTTTTTGCAAGCAAGTTCAGAACAAAGCAAGGTTCTTGAGCTTGTGATAGATGAACGTGGAAATGCCAAGCACCACAGTGGGGCTGGAGTTCTACTTGTGAGGATACTGAGTTCTCCATTATGAGCAGGCATGGGGGTGAGGGGGCCAATCTTGTCCCTGCCCCTGGAACCACATGAGCCTTCCCTAGCCACAACCACATCAAAACGATCATTCATGACAGCAGCTGCAGCGTTCTCCAGTGCTCTTTCAATAAGTCTAGAATCCCCATTGATTATAAAGGAACACTAAGCACTTTAGTAGACCCAACAAATGACTGATCCAGTCACAGACAAAGTTGTGGTTCATCTTCATGACAGGGGAAACACACAAGCATTTTATGTGAAATCGACTGTACGGATTTCTATTCTTCTACTCCAGGGTGATCTTAACTCTCTTTAAATAAACATTACACACGCTGAGGTTGTAAACAGTGACTACTTCTTGATGGTACAACCATCAATGACAACTCTTTTTTCTTTCCTCCTTACGCTTTTTGGTTTGGTTTTGCCTTGTTTTCAAGAGTCAAAATGTGGGTAAGTGCAGATAGAACCAATTATGGGACACAAAGCAAACCTCAAAGAAACAACAGAAAGTCAGCTGCCTCCAGTTGCTGAGAGATCGCAGGAAGCAGTGGGGAGGTGCAAAGAGACCAGAGCAAAGGAAAGCATGCGTGGACCCAGCTGTCAGGAGAGATATTTTTCAAGAGTCCCTAACTTATAGAAGAGAAGCATTTGGAAATCAGGATGATTCTTCTCTATGACAGCAAGAAAGAAGAGGCCAAGAAAATCTCACAACTGTGGAGAAGCCGGAGAATTATGTGCAGCAGTCAGGGACATTTGCATCATAAGCTGAAGGAATTTTGAAACCGTGGCCCCTTTTCCTGGTACCGCCAGCTTCCCCTGCCAGATCCTGTAGGAGCAGCGAACACGTGTGCTGGAGAATGTCCGAAAGTGAGAATCTGAGGGTCACGGAAACCAGCTTGCTGAAAAGAGGTCCAGAGAACACTCAGGGAACAAAAATCAAGCGTGTCCTCACAAAACTATTTTCCCAGCAGACCCCAGGAAATGAGCACTGGTCCAAGATGTCCAGATGTCCAGTCACACTCTTCTGGAAAGCTTGGCCCCAGAGTAGGGGGACAGAGAGAGGACATATATAAACAAACCATCTTGAAACTAGCCTGGGGTGTCTAAGAGAAACATGCCCACTTCTCCTGGTGCAACTTCCTGTCATAGTCTTGAGGTCAAATTGTTAGATGGCTAGGGAAAAAAGATATGAAGGGTATAAATTTAAATATTAGTAAGAATATGTTTAAGACAAGTACTGTAGCTCACGCTTGTTGCAATCCTAGCTATTGGGTAGCCTGAGAACTGGAGGATCATGGTTTGAGGCCAGTCAAAGGAAGAAAAGTTCTCAAGACCCCTTCTCTACCTACAGTTAGGCACAGTGATTGGTACATACTTGCAAGCCTAAACAATCTGAAGGGCTAAGAACTGGAGGACTGCAGTTCCAGGCCAGTCTTGTAGACTCTATCTCCACAAAGGGAGGCTGGATGCAGTGGTGTGAGCCTACTGTCTGTGATATTAGCAAGCCTAAAGTAGGCAGCTCACCGTTCTGGTAAGCACCAGCGACAAGAAAAGGTCCCCATCCTCAAAAGAAGCAGTGAAAAACAGAGATGAGGGCATGGCTCAAGCAGAAAAGCACCAGCCTCACAAGAGCAAGACTATGAGTTCAAATCCTAGTGCAGTGAAAAGGGGGGAAAATGCTTTTTTTTTCCCTCATAGGTAATGGAATTACATGTGGCATTTCATTTACTCTTTCTTGTCTGTATGTTTAATTATCGTTTACACTTAGATGTCATTGTTTATCATGACTATATATAGTTTGAAGCAGTGTTGGCCTTAAAAAGATAAAAATATTGAATTAAGATGCGTCATGTTGATGTTACATACTTTAATAAAATTGCTGCCTCTGAAAATGTAACACCAATGCTTTTCTCTTAAGTGCATTGGGTATGTTTATTTGACCGTGGATGTATTTATTCCAATGGAATGCCTTTCCTCTGAGAGCTGTAGTTACTCTCAAAACATCCGTCAAAGAAAATTAAGGGAAAATTATTCAAGTCCATGTTATTAAGAAGAAATGAATAGAAACAGCACAGTCTCCCTTCTCCTCCCCAAAATAACAACAAAACAAAACCAGAGAAGCCTAAGGAAGCAAAAAATAAAACAAAAGAGAAGTACCAGGAATTAACTACCTCCTACAATTTGGAGAGAAGAGTGTGTTGTTATTTAACATAGTTAAGGTAATTCTAGACAAGACATTTCATTTCCTAGTTTTCACATAATATATCACAAGATTTCTACAGTCATTCATACACGTTTGGCTTTGAGAACTCAGAGAAGAACTTTGAACTGTGGTGGTTTACTTCTGCAGAGAGGAGAGGCTTTGCCAACACATGGGTCAGTACATTTCCACTGTGGTGCTCTGACCATGGGTGGCTTTAAACCTTTCTCAATACAACTGCAAGAAAACAGGGCCCTGGGACTCTTGGTCACTAGGTTGTTCAGGGATCCTGGGAAGCCTGGAAGAGTAAGAATCAAGGCAATGGTGAGTCTAGATTAAGGAGGAAAGGCTGGGAAATGCTGAGACACCAGCTCCCATACAGTTCCCTGGGCTCCTCCTGAGCAGTAAGGGAGACCCCAGTAGAAAGGAGTGTGACCCCTGTGGGTGTGAGCCTCTCTGTGCAGAGCTCTGGCCTTGCACGAGGGGTCATCCAGAACTGATGGCCCAAAAGGTCCTTGAGGTCCAATAGATGTTCCCCCAGGTGGTACCTGTGTGCCTGTAAGCATATACCCTGGGCTTCCTGAACCCAGAACTCCCTCTAACTTCCCTGTGGATGGGCAAGGGCACGGGGGAGACAGGTTAATGGGTTTCTTTCTGTTAGAAGGACCAGAAGCAGTCATTAACCTGAATGTGAACAAACTTACTTTTGAAACAGTTGCACAGGAATTTTGCTGAGTATATGATTTTGCTTTTATATCTTTCCATGACTCTATATATGCATAGACATCAGACAAAAGAGCATGGGAGGGTGGAGGGGGAATCTCTCTAACTTCAAAAGAGTTGCTCTAAAATAAATTCAGGCCCAAGCCAGGTCTGATCCTCCTGGCTTGTCCTCTGGAACCCAGTCATTCCCACCCTTCATCTGGTCCTGTGTCTACCCAACTCTTACCACAGATCCCAAGATTGCCCTTCCTCTCAGCGCCAGTGCTGGGTCACTCAGACTACTGTGCCTTTACCCTCAAGAAGTCATCTCCTTCTTCTAAATACTGGAAGCAAATTTGGCCACCTGGTTCTGAGAGTCTGGGACATTTTGGATTCCAAATAGTCTATCTTATACTTCCATTGACTTTTCCTGTCACCAAAACCATAAGCCACCAAGGATAAATCCATTTTTACTCTAGTTGATAGTTATAGTATATACTTACTCCTTAATCAGGCCTTAAGCTTCTTACATATAAAGTTTATGGATACTTAGAAGTACC